TATTAGGAGAGGTTTTCAGTCATGATAATGGCAAAGTGAAGCTATTTGAATACAAGATGGGAACTTATAAAGAGTGGCAGTAAAAATTAGAAAACTCATTGGATTCACCAAATTTTATTGTTTGCCTTCCTCCCAGAAGGAATTTCACTAGGGACTCTTTGAAAGATTAATTTACCATTACTTTTCCAAAGATATTAGGAGATGTTATATTGTTATAAGAAAAAAATAATTGAACAGAATGGAATTGTTCATTAATAAAAAATACTAAAATGGACTCCTTTAAAATCATGTTGATAAACTTAAGATAAGTTTCAAGTATAAGTTTTTCCGGTGGGGGGACAGGGAATTAAGTACAATGCTTTGCTCTCTATTATTTTACACAAAGTCGCAATGATATTTAGAGACTTTTAAGAAAAATGCCAGGATTGCAGATAACTATGGGCCAGTTTCCGCTGCTGAGAGAAGGTCACAGACTTCATCTCTGTCTTTGTCTGCTTCCTTGCGAATGAATGATTTTGGTGGGACCTGGAGGGACCTAGAGAAAGGCTGTAGGTGACTTAGCAAAAATCTACTGCTCCTTTCCTGAAACCAATTCAGAAATTTACGTTCTACTGACAGATCATTAGAGTTATGTTTCTACATGAAGAATAGCGCTTTTCTTTTCCATCTTTCTCTCTCATTTTTTTTTCTTTTCAGTTTGAAAAAGAGTTTACTGACCACCAAGAAACTCAGGCTCAATTGCAGAAAAAAGAGGCAAAGATTAATGAGCTTCAAGCAGAGTTACAAGCTTTTAAATCTCAGGTAAAATACCGTCTTGAGTGAATTGGGTATTGAAACCACAACAAGGGAGCAAAGGTTATGTTATATCTTCATAGCATCAGAACGTTTAAGCTTTAATTTCATTCGTATGTTTTATAATATTGTTTATATGTATTTCTGTTCTGCTGTGTTTATTCTTTTTAAAATTTACTTTGCACTTTTTTCCTATTTGTATGCATATCTAAGATTTTACTAATGAATCTCCCCCCTTACGTTTTGTTTGGGTTTTGTTCCTGATGTCTCATGTTTCCTAAGTAATTAAGCATAAAGGGTAAGAAAGTCTTTGAGATTTGCCATTCATCACTGATCTTTATCCTGCTACAGGAAATTATTGCTCAAGCTATTTATTTTTCAAAACCTTCAGCCTATGGGTACCTTGCAGTAAAAGATAACCTCTAGCTGAATGAGAACATTTTCTGATAATTTTTCAATTTCCAAAAGTAAACAGATTTAAAACATGACCAAAAAAAAAGAGAGTAAATCTGGATTATGAAGCAGATAGCTCACATACCCCCTCTACACATAAAACATTTAGATAGCAAGAAATACATCATCTGCATGCTTTATGTGGATGTAAGTAAGGAGGTAGCATATTCATAGCTAAATTTCTTCACGTAGATTTACATACAGGCTGAGCAATAAGTATAGTTTTGCTGTTTTTCTTCCATCTTAATTTATGGTTATGTTGAAATAGTCACAGGTATACTATATCCTATATTATTGGCAATTTTGTTTTCTTTTAAATGGTTAGTGGGTAGTTTTATTGCAGAGGCTGTCTGAAGATACCTGAAGAGATAGCTATCTGTTGGGTTTCAATTTTAGGGAAAAAAAAAAAAAAATCTATCCGCAAGAAAATTATTCTCATTGATCTTTCTTTAGTGCTGCAAGAAGGAAGTAGCACATTTTGTTGAATTTGTTCATTTTTCCCATATGGCTCCTTGTCTGTCATATTAAAAGAAACATTTGATTGTATGTGTACTTCAGGTTGAGTTATAGACAATGGCTGAAATATTTATGACAAGTTTTTCCTGGTATGGGCTAATATAAATTTAAGAATTTTCTTTTCTTTTTAATTTTTCCCAGTTGAAGGATTACTTTTAAATCTACTCTAGAAAATTCCAATTTGTAAAAAATATATCCACCATCTTTGGATAAGTTATTGTTGCATGGTGCTTTTATATAAAATGGGAATAAATTTATGTTTTGAAACTGAAATTAAATCAAGGAATCTCCTAAATTGTTTTAAATTGTGCACAATGATGACCTGTGTTTATGGCTATCAGAAGAAAGCCTAGGATTAGATACTTAATATTGGGCACTGTGTTCATTTTTGAGAAACAAGTGGCAAATGCTTTCTCTGGATTTTAGTTTATTTTATCTTAAGATCATAAAGCTATACTATGAAGATTATGAATAAAATATTTCTATTTTGGGGGATTTTATTCTTTTGCTCCTTCAATCTTTTAACAACCAGGTACTGTTAGGTGCTGGGGATGTAATGCTGAGCAAGATAGTTAACATGTCTGTCCTCCTGAACCATGTATTCAAGTCGACCATTCCTATTTTATCAAATGAACTATTTTAGAGGAGAAATACAACCATCTTTATTTTAAGACATTGCAAGTTAACTATAAAGTATATAGGTGTTAAGTATAATATACATATATTCTTTTTTTTTTTATTTCAGCAT